CTTCCACCAGTAACTAATACTTTTCCATTTGGTAATACCGATGCTGTGTGCTGTGTTCGATGATGGTTCATGCTGCCAATATTGATCAATCCTACATAAAAACATTCGTATATGCTTATTCTGGGAAGAATATGTATTGTTGAACCCGTACGATGATTTAACGAAGTGTGGAAAGTTTTAGATGCGGTAAAATGAAAGTTTTTTTCTTAGCAATAAAACAATGTTTTGTTTTAGAATTTCTGGTGAGCAAAGAAAGCCTTGAATTCATTATAAGAAATTCCATCATGATATGGTATAAACATGGATTGCGAATTTTCGGTAAACAATTTTAAGCGTGAGCTACAGTTAAACTAGCTTCGTATTTTTTTAACTGTCGTCAACTTATTTAAACAATTAGTGTGCTGATGACTACGACAATCTGAAATGTCGACCGAAGAAATTTTCGGTTCGAATCCAAAAGCATTTTGAAGGAGGAATTGGATTCCACCGAGGCCTAACTTTCTATTGCACTTTCGACTTGGGTTCAAGCTCTATTGGGATTTTCGGTCTTAGTTTACCTTATTTCTGTACGTTGCTCGTGCACTATACACTGCTTAGCACGATGAGATAGTGTTGAGCAGTTTGCTTGGAGCTCTACTAGAAACACTGTAACCTTTTAATACAATTGTTAGATGTCGAAAATAACTCCCAACGTAAAAAGGCGTATTGCTGAATAGGATGCCACAATGATAAGCAATGTGAAGAATATGAATGAATTTTCTTTCTTCACCTCAATGTCATTGATACAAAGTGTGCGAGCAATGCTGTTAGTTACGCATAGATTAGAACAAATGACCTGTTTGATTTGTTGCCAGTCGAACTCAATGTTATCTGAAACTTGTCACAATGCACTTAAAAATATTTCCTAGGTCTGATTATTAACCAGAATACAAGACGACTTTAAAAACTATGTAAATCTGGAAGCAATGTGTCTGAATCTTTATGACGCAATCATGCTGTATTCTCGATGGATTCGCCTTTATACTTTGTGATCAGGATTTGTACTCGGTTAACCGAAATAAACCAAAAATTTGCTAGAGAACTAAATAAAAATTGAGAGTCGTGATGCAATTTTAGTTGAAGTGAGTAGTACTGGCAACTGTATGTTTTGCACTACTCATATATGTTATTCGACAATCTATATTGATGAAATTCATTGTCTTTATTTGCATAAACTGTGTGCACACAATCAGCATGATCATACAATGGGCGGAATGAATGCGTGGAAAATATATGTGACAAGAATTTGTGACAACAATCAACATATTGCCATTCTCATAATGGAGACTCAAGCGAATATTCTTCATCATGTGATTATGTTGATGTACTCACAAATGAATTAGATCGAAATCTGTCGTGATGTGTTGACTGCAACTATTTTCCACGAAATCCTCTCGATTCTATTTGTCAAACTCTGATACGTATACAATACTCAGCATGTGGCATGGATAATATTCAAGAGAGGTGGCACACTCATTTTTTTTACCAATTATGGCCATAGATGAACTATCATATGTTATTGTGACGACTATCTCTATCAATATATTCGATGATACAGCGTCGATAAACAGCATACATTAGATGCCAGCTCTGATGCATGGTATGTCATTGACAATGAAAATTTTAGAAAAAAGAAACTGCTATTGCGAAGTGAAACGGTGAAAATTCCCCTCCATTACTATATAGTTTCGAATCAAGTCGTCGTCTCGAACCTCCCCTCTTGCTATTCAACAAATATCAAAAACCATGAAGGAAAATCAAGTTGGTTGGTATCCACGACAAATAATAGTCATAGACAACTTATAGAAGCTTCGCGGTCTATTTAGAGTCAGTAATTAATACATTTTAAACAATGAAAATGAACAAAGCTAAAGTATATAATGCTCGACGAATAAGTAATTTGCATATGCAAGAATACATTGTTAGTCATGAGACAAATGGAGAAACCAAATAGTATCGTTGTGCGATTCACGATACGTAAGAATGAAGCTCCATTTATGATCGGGACTCAGCTTCATTGGCTCTAAAAGATTCATTGTTGATTCACGACTATCTCACATCACATAGCTTCATCAGTAATATACATGTATAGACTCTGTAAACTTTGAATACAATACTTCTTTTATCGATTCGTTAGTAATACAACCATTAACCATAGCAAATTTTTCGTTACACCACGTATTTTTCGGAATTCCTTATAGATATCCTATATCAACACAGTTCATGCACAAAGATTCTCATTTCGTGTCACCTGATTTAATGCAAAAAAAAAGTGAGAAAACATCGGTGCAAATTATTTCGTAATGGATTGAAATTATACGACTTTCATCGGTTACATATCGGCTGTAAAACACATTTTTGAAAGACTAATTCAACTGGATATGACTACTATACGAGGAGAAAGAAGGATGATTTAAATTACTCTAAAACCAATCTGAATTTTATAAGTCATCAAAAACCATTGAAAATCAATTAGAATTCTCTGAAGCTTATGAAGAATCTAAAGTTATTTTTCGCTGAATTATTTTATTTTAGACGATTTTAATTGACTTTCGGTACGTTTCTGATTCTAAGTGATTTTAATGTAACCGTGAACGAGATGGATAGCAACTACATATACCTGATTTGAAAACAATATTTAGGTAGGTTCAAAAGCGCTGGTGTCCAGCTTACCCGGTTGTTGATTCGTAGTCGCAGCTGCTATTAATGGCACGGTAGCAGTTGGTGATAATGACGTCGTCGTTGATGATGCTGATGTTGATGGTGGTTTTGATGATGGTGATGTTGTCGTAGTGATATCAGGCTTCTTTGGTGCAAGTATCACGAATTTTAATAGCAGGGTGAGTGTAACTGCAAGAATTGTCACAAAGATAAAGCAGATGCAAATGATCGTAAACCAACGATGGTGCCACCATTCGCGTGGCCGATTATTTCCATTGGCTTGCTCACTGAACATCAAGCTATTGCGTATATTATAATCTACAAGAAACTTGAACTGAAACAAGAATAATAGTGTGAATGAAGAGAGTACTCACATCTACACTGACACTTATAGTTTCGCCAATGGCGAAAAGTCTGCTAAAACTGCTAAAGTGTATCAGTAGCAAGTGAAAAGAAATTTGTTAAAATTCATACGACTATGCTAGTGAATACAACCAGCCTCTAGACGTTAAAAAGACGCAGGTAAAACTATTCAACTCACAAATAAAATAACCGCTAACATAGATCTACATGAATGGGTAACAAATAAAGACAGTGAGATTATTTAGTTATTTAGATTTTGTGTAAACGGATGAATTGTCGCTCGTATCGACTGTTGTACATCGTATGGAGAGGTTTTTAATTCATATACTAGAGTCCAATGGACGAAGTGAAATCGAATGGTTTTGACTTACGCATTGAGACTACATTTCTTTGTGTGAATTAATTCCCTCTTCTCCATACTACATACTCTCATTAACCGCTTTTAAAACATAAGTTCAGAGTAGATTTAAGGATAGCATATGATTGTTCCACTATAGCGCCATATGAACGTATTAATAGAACATTCCATTTTGACTACGCAAATCATTATTTTAAAACGATCCTTTCTACCGAGTTATCTTTTGGAATTAAAAAAAGAAAAAAGAATGAAATTACGCTAAACAAAAGTTACATTACTCATCAAAAATCATTTCTAATACGAAAATAGATTAGACTATCATGTGTGTTCTTCTTAACCTTTTAACAAAACTACCCTCTCTCTTCATGTTGATACCGTTTTTGACTTAAGTTTCATAGATTCTGTATCGTTATATTGTGTAGAAAAAACACATTAGCATACGGTTCGCTTTTAACGTACTTATCTTTTCTCTTTGCTTTTCTTACTGATATTGTAGTTTTCCATTTTCTTCTCTCTTCCTTTCTGATATCATATTTTTCTAAGCCTCAATAGACTTCATAGAATAAAGCTTACTTAAAAAAAAATCAAGTTTTTCGTCATCTTTTCCTGTCCATATGTCTCATAGATGAAATGTTGTGAGTATGGGAGCAATGTCATGGTAGGCTTTGGCCTTGTTCAAAGATCTTATCATATACTTAGTAGATCTCAATCTTAATTAGCGAATCATTGAGAATGACTTCATACAAGCTACTACAATACAAGCGTATGTCGTCTTTGTTTTATTTATTTCTATCGTTTTAATTTATGGAAAATATATATAGAAATGTGAAGAAACATGAGTTTATAAATATATTTTTGGATACCTTTTAAAGGCTTATGATGACAAGTATATTTGAGATGAAACTTAAATGAACATATAAGAATTAGAGTAATAAGCCAAAATAAACTCTTCTTGCAAATGAATCTAATGGTATTAAGTACTTCTAGATGTTGTGTGTGCTATATGCTTGAGATACAATTTTCAATATTTATGCAATACTACATCGAGCACATTGAACCATATTCGTTTAATGCTTTTTCAGTAGCAGTTATGATAGTATCAACAATTGATGGCTTTTGAAAGGACGTGTATCCAATCAAACACGATCTTCAAAAATTAAACAAGTTGGAAAATATTAAGATTTCGTTATAGCGTCGGTTTTTACCAGTTTTCTGTACAACTTTTACTAGTTTTAATGTTTTCACAAATTCGAATGCGTTAAAACATAAAAATTCAAGTTATAAAACGCAGTTTTGTTCATTTTACTTGAACTGATTTTATTGTGTTAATCATTAAATCGTTAATTTGTATTTTATCAAGGAAATTAAATACTTTTTTATCTGATTTGCTTTCGAGAACTCCTTTAAACGTTTAATCTTTTGCAATCGATAAATGCATTTTCTATGATAATGATTGTCAATAACTTTTAAGTTGTACACTGAAATAGTGTATGACAGACACGAGGACTATCTTGGAGTGTCATAATATCATGATAGAGCGATGTTATTGCTGAAACAAAATCATTCATCGACTTTCTTCAAATAAATGCAAGTCTCATAACAACATGAATATTTATTTTCAGGAAAGTAAAAATATGCGAATTATTCTTTCAAACATGCAACAATAACAATATTAGAAAAAATTGTTTTATGAGATTTATCAGAAAAGATCAAAACTGATTACGCGTCTATTTGATACTTGACTTGATTCAACCAACTTTTTATTTTTCCTGAGCCCAAGTTAATCCTCGAGCTTTCTGGTTTTTTTTCCATTTAGTATCTAGTGAAATAATAAAAGAAGCTAAGCAGTAAATCTGAGAATATTTTCCTTGTTTATTGTGATCGCCTTTTAAGCTGCATGATAATGATACATTACCGTTTGCTATTATTAATCATGTTACAGATTTGATTGAAAAGCTTGCAAAAATTATTAGCAATACTGATTGTATCATAAAGCAACATGAGAAAATTACACATCTCATGTACGAATGTTGCAAATTATAAAGACACAACTTTTGATGAGTTTGATTAGTGTAGTCTCTGTCGACGGTTCTCTAAGTTTTCAATAGACAAAATCTCTCTAGGATTATGCAACATAACAAATAATCGAGTTCTAAATATGTTTGAACTCCTTACTTCCTCATTATGAACAGATATTTCAGATCTATAAAAAGTCCGTTTTGATAGATCAATGCACTTTGAACAGTTAAAGCGTCGTTTTTTCTCGAGTTTTAAAAATAGAATCTGTTTTCTTTTCTTCCATATGTTAGTTAATTCTTTTCACCTTCCCGTATTATTTGTGACTTACAGCTACATTTTATTCTCTTTCTTTATACTCTGTTTCTTTTTCAATTCAATTGCAAATTATTGCATTGAAATATTTCTCTAACGCGACTTACGAGGAAGCTATCCCAACTGAAACCGAGCTTTCGGTTGCAGTTTTTGGCTATAGATGCGTTTCAGTGAGGATAAGAAAACCTTAAAATCATTCGTGCTTATGGCTTGTCGTTCGCGAAATACGATCAAAAGTATGTCGTAAAAAAAGACTTTGTTTCGTTTTGTGAAATTGACATTCATATGTTACCCTATTAGTTTGAAACTTAAAGTACATCAAAAGAATGATTCGATCACAATTCTTGAATTATCCAACATTTGTATTTTCAACCAAACTGGATCATAGAATATCCAAGGTTCAATTGTAAAAATTTCGTTAATGTACCAGAAACACAAAATGAAACAATATTTAAGCCACACGTGTAGGCAGAAAAACTTTTATGATAATGATACATTGTGTAGAAATGAGAAAAGCATTACACATTTCAACACCATGAACAACAGATGAAACAAGAAGTTGAACATTTCTCTTCTTTCCATGGAGAAGGAGAAAATTAACTAGGATGAGTTTCTACACATTCGCTTGCCTACAACTGTATTGAGCCAATTTACGGAAAAAGGATGCAACAATTTAAAAATAAACGAGTGATACTAATTTAATAATACTGTTTCGATCTGACATTTGCCTATTTAGTTGGTCAAGCGCAAACCGATCATATATATGAGTAACAATACTTTTCATCTGCCGATTGAAACACATATCAAGTGGTTTCATCTTGCCAGTCGTTTTGTCTGGTATTTGTAATCTTTTTCAACCTTTTACTTTTTGATAAATGTGATCATCACTTTGGTCTAACCCTGAATCTGAAAGAAGCAGATACTTCTCAAGGCTATTCAGAATGAGAGTTTGATCAACCCAATAATCGGCATAAGACCTAGTTAATTTTCTAGATTTTGAACAAGTAACGGTGATAGTATTAGCTTTGAACATTCGCAATTGTATATCTGAAGTTTAGTAAAGTTCAATGGACTTAATAAAATTAAGACTTTAATCTTCACCCTCACTAATTCGATCGTTTGGCCTTTGAAGACATAAGAATAGAGGGCCGATCATTTTTTTCTTCCATATTGATAAGAGGTTGTATTGAGAAAGAATGACTATTTTCATTCTTAGATCTTACCGCATCATTTGTCATCTTTTTACTTTTAAAAGTCAGTGTACAATTGGTTTGAAATTCCATCACCACATTAACTTGATCTGCGTTAAAAATTTGACTTGAAGAATAGTTCTTGGTTTCAGCTCGAACAATATTGGCAGTCTTCGACTGATGTTTCAATTTCATCAGCATCTTTTATCAATTGGTTGCTAACAACTTTAAAAACCTTTTGAAAAAGAATACAATGCTTGTATCTGAAATTATGAACCCAATGATTGATGCCAGTTGTTTTCTTTTTCCGTTCTGATTAACTTTATCATAATCATCTAGTACGTGTTTTCTATAATGAAGACAAAATTTGGATGTTGTTTGTTCATCTTTTACTTCTCCTTCTTCTGTTATTGAGCATGTGTGTTCATCATTGTCTTCTATTTCTTATTCAAGTTTTGTCTCTTCATTATCTTCACCTTACTGAGATCCATTTTGTGAGAAATCATCAGGTGGATCTGTTTGATCGAGTGTAGATTCATTATAAATTTCGAATGATGAGACAGATAAGAACATTTGAATAATTTCAAAGAAGTATTGGATGAGTTCTTTGGTTTGCTTGTTTCCTTTAGATTGGTAAGTATCTTTTTCTGAAATTCACTCACATGGCATGACGACGACATCAGCTGTTTCTATTATTTATTTCAACATAATGAAACTTGGCATAAGATTATTGCATGCATTAAGGATTCCTCTCTAGCATCGATATGGCAACGTAGCCAACAACTACCGACCGTCACTTTGCTGTGTTCTTCTTTCCTCGTTCTGCTTATTTAACATCGCATGTCCGCAAATCTTAAATAACTATAATTTGATATTCTCAGTTTCGAAAAAAACCATAGATTTAAAATTACTGTAGAAAACAAACTTGTTACTAGAGCTAGCCGTATGAAGACTAATCTAGAACTATTCAGATAAGAAACAAAAACTTTTCAAAAATGAAAAGAAATTTTTTTGCAACATAGTGTTGACAGCATTTCAAGAACAAAGAGCAAT